TTTTATTTCAGTTACCAAATTTTTCTACCTTGTCAAAATTACCAAATTTTCCAGGCACCAGTAATGTCAATATACAATTTTGCAAATTGATGAACAAATAAAATGGAGCATGATACTGTAATCTCTTACAATCTGCTCTGTTCAACATTGTTCTTTTCAATAGGAAAGTTCCTTTTAAATATTATTATTGCTTGACTGCTTTAAAGAAGCCCTTTGGTCATAGTAAGCCAACAGATCTTGTAGCTGTCTCTTGTAGTCAGTTCCTTCTGGCTTGTAAGCAATTTCCATAATCAGTTTCCTTCAACAGTAGTGGTATTAACTTAAGTTGAACAATCCACAAATACTGACCACAATACTTGTCTTCTGTTTGCTACAGTAGTCACACTTCTCTTCATTGCCTCTTTTTATAGCTTGATTGACAGTTATATTAAGAGATTCTTATGAGTGTCTATCTGACTCTAAGATCTATTTGTGTTAAATGTATGACCTGTGAAGCTGCCATTTTCTGTAGTGTTAAAGATCTAGATGGAGATTTTCTGGATACTATGTTTAATACTAATTTGTATTTGTTTTTTTTTGTTTTTTTTTTTGTTTTGTTATAAATTATATTTAAAATGATTAGTAATAAATTTGGGTATGTAATCCCAACAGTTATAAGTTATTGACATTTGGGAAAATGTTCATGAAAGCATGTTTCAAAAATAATATCTGATAATGCATTTTGCCTCTAATGGATAATGAAAAATGTGTGTATGCATTTGTGTGTGTTTAAAATAATTAAATCTTATATTATTTTCCCAAGCTGGTGTTGCTTGAGATTTAAAAAAAAATAAAAATAAAGAAAATGAGTGACTTTTTCCAAATGTAAATAACTTAAAATGATATTTAAATTAGGTCATCATAACCTAAATATAGGTACCTTCAATAATTTGGTATACCTAAGATTTAAATGAATTTTTATAAATGAAAAATCTTTCTTGAAGCTTTCGTTTTAGTTTTAATTGAAAGCTTAAGGATTAGATTTACTATTTCTCATAAGCAACATACTCTGTAATGTATTTCAAATAGAAATTCTTTTGGTTGGAGGCAATTAATTTTGGGAGGCTAAAAACAGCTGATTAGTGCTTTTTTTTTTTTTTTTTTTTTTTTTTTTTAGCCATCTGTCATTGCAATTAATTTTTCTTCATTAAAAAATCTTCCCAAAATAAAATATACTCTGATCTGAAACAAATATTTACCTTAAGTTGAAAATAAGAGAAATGGATTTTTAAAACAAACAGTAGCATGATTAAGTACTTGTCAGCACCTTGTAAATTACTTGACAAGTGATTCATAAGGTGTTGACACTTTTATTATTGTTCTACAGAGACCTTATCTGTTAACCCATAATTTAAGAAAATGGGTGAATGCTTTTTTATATAATTTTCAAGTATTCAGTAATCTTAAAAATGTTGGAGATATTCTCTGTAATCTAATTTTAGGAATGTTGACTTTAAATTACTATCATGATCAATATTTTCTAATAATGAAATTGGCACGTTTATACACATAAAAAATTTTTTTTAATTATTTTAAAAATCTTTGGTGCAATGATTTGTATTAAACTTTTCAATTTTCACTTAGTAAATATAGACTTCACTTAATAACCTAACAAGGATGAAGTTTGGAAGAATTTTTAAAACATTTTTGAAACATAAATTATAATAAAATAAAAAACAAAAATATTCTTGTAAAAATTCATTATTCATTGAAAAAATTTTTTTCTTCAGACTATAATTTTCTTAATATTTTTTCATTTATAAAAGCAAATAAAAGATTATCTAATTAAATAAATAGATAATTAAATACTCAGTTTTTGTTTTACGATTTGGAGCAGATTTTAGGGAATTTTGTAAAAGATTAAAAAAAAAATGATTTACATTTTCCAAGGAGCCCTGCTTTAGACTAAAAAAAATTTGGAGAACAAATTTAATTTCTAGGAATCTCATGAAATTAAGAAAGTGAAGGTGGTGGGTAATAAATATATAAAAAAAAAATTACCAAGATTTTCTAAAAAAATAATAATTTAAAAAAATAAATTCATTTGTGAATAAGTACTGAAAATTTAATTAAAATCTGACAATTTTTTGATTTTGCAAGACTTTCTAAATTAATGTGTTATTTTACCAGAAAAGATGCAAAAATTCCTATTACCAGTTCTGTTATACCATTGATACGTAAAAAGACAAAATTTTTTTACAAAAATTTCAAACGTGTTAGAAAGGAGTAAACAATTTTTTTTAAAATAATTAAAAATACTATGTTCTTTCCACTTAATAAGATAAACATTTTGATGATAAAACTTTGTTTTTAATTTTGGGGCCTTTTTCATTATGCTACACTTTTTTTTTTTTTTTTTTTAAGTGAATTATTGGAGTTACCTACCTAAATAGATTTGACATATTGAAAGGTTATAAAAAATGATTGTTAAAAAGTCACTGAAGATAACATGCACGTTCAAATAGCAAATGATCTTTTTAATATAGTGAAGCAAATTAAAAATGAACACACCAATTTATAATCAATGGGAATTCTTTAAAAGTAAGATCTTTGTTACTTCAGTTGGAAGGTTATAAAAGTCAAGCAGATTTTCTTTCTAACATCAGCTGAATTATTTTTTAATTATCTTAATCATCAAAATTAACATAGCAAAATATTTTATTATCAGATTTACGTTTAATTATATTAAAATATTTGTTTATTAAAAATTCTTTATTTCCTGTTTTCTTTTAGTATTTTTTTTTTTTTTTTTTTTTTTTTCATGCAAAAATCCCTTTTAACATGTTTTTATGAAAATCATCAATGAATGTTTAGATTAAACAGCATTAAACCTAATTATGAAATGTTGTACTGCTTATTGAATACAGAAAAAGATTGGAAACTGTGAGAAAACAGATGTTACATATCAACACTGTTGTTTCATACAAAACATTTTTAGACAAAATAACCTGCATCCCTATTTTTAAGAGAAACCACCATCTGACCTGCTATGCTTTAGACTGCTTCAAACATGTGTATATCCACTAAAAGAACATTTTTAGTAATAAGAAATAATGTTAGATTAAGAATCAAATCCATTAATTCCTTAAAAACATCAAGTCTTTAAGCAATGTGATTGCAATTCTAACTTGCAGTAATATGAGAAAAATCTAAGTTTTTTTTTTTTTTTTTTTTTTTTTAAAACTTTTTTCAGTTTATATTTTTCTCTTTTGCTTGATTTTAGAATTGTGAGAAATTATATTTGGTTGTCTGGAAATGACTTGATTAATGTAGAACTCTTTTCATAAGTTTATGCTTGTCTGTTTTAAATGATTGAATATTGTATTGTTTTATCAACTAGTTCTATTGAGATGAACTTTCTTTTCTAACTTTCTAGCAATTGCACAAGGGTATTCTTTATTTCCAGAAAATTGTATCTGGTCTTTCAATTTATGAAATTTAATAATTATTTCAAGATTGATTCAATTTCACTATTAGATTTTGTCCATCTTTGCATTTAAACCACAAGTGTTTCTTTGCAGGAAAGTTAAGCACATTTATGGTTATTCACGTAAAGGCAATTTGCATTTTAGCAGAAAAACGTTAATTTTATTACACACACTACTAAGATGTTAACATTTAAAAATTAATATTTTCCAGGCAACCTGATAATTTTGTCTGCAATTTTTGTATCTTTTTTTTTAATTTTTTTTTTATTTTTCTTCCTAACTGAATTTATTATTTATGGATGCATCAAGAGTGTAATGGTTATTGGCTCAGAAATAGTTGAGCTACATTTAAATTTTGTCTAAGTTACATTTACTTTTGTACAGATACCTTTGGGAAAGAGATTGATCTCTTTAGCCATGGCTGGCAGCCAGCCAGCCTGGGGGAAAGACAACTCTGAATTTAAAACTGGTTTTGTAGCCCTGGTGAAATGCATACTATACAAGCACAGGAAAAATTATGAACTTCACAAATTACCTGTTGCACATGGCTGTGTGCTCTATGGATTAGGATTGAATTTTAAAAATATATTCATTAAGGAAAATTTATAGATTATTTACAAAATGTTTTGTGCTTGGAAGAATTAGAAAATAAATTGTTCATTTGATATTTTGAAATAATTTAAAATTAGTTAACAAGTCTGAATTCATTGTCACATAATGTCAAAAAAAGATGGCTTCAAAAGTTAGTGGTTAATAATACAGTCAATCTTTGCCTAAAATCTGTTTAATGACTCCCACCCCAAACCAAATTAAAAACATATATAAAGTCTCATAAAATAAAAAAACTTTGATTTCTTTCTTTAAAATGAATCAAAATAGATAAAGTGAAAATTGTACTGTATTTATAAAATGCAAGCTGAATTAATGTACATAATATAGAGCTTATTTTCAAATTTGTTTGTTTTGTGAGAAAAATGAAGAATTATATCAGACTCTTTAACACATTGACAGTTGCCAAGCACAAACCACCAGCAAACTTAAATCATGGCATGAACAAGTTTTCCATTCTGGGAGCCCACATACCAACTTTGTGACTTTCTTTTTTGTTATTGACTGCAAAATCAAAACAACACTTTGTTTCATCTCTGGCAGATGCCGTCAATTGCTTGTTGGCTATTTATGCCACCCATCGCAATAAATGCTTTCCAATTGCAGTTGCTCGTCTTTGCTGCATGTACAGTACACTATTGCACTGTATATTCATTTACAAATGAATTAGAAATGTTACAGAGAATGCAAAAGTGACATGAGAGCTATCAGTTGACACAAACCCATTACATGTGTAGTATTCCTGAAATAGTAATCTGGTGCAACTTCTTACTAAGTGTAAGAACAGAACCTGGTTATTAGGTGGTTGTATATATGTCTATTAATTACTTTTTCTTTTTTTTTATATCATTCAGTTCCCAATCTAAATATAGATTTAAATATGGTTTTCAAAATGTATATAAAACTGCTCTTCTATTATTTCAGATGGGAGATATATCTCTTGGTAGTCTTTTGAATGACTCTCCAATTAAGAAAAGTTCCTCTTCTGACCTTCAAACCAACAATTTAACCAGTAACAGTAGTAGCAGCAACAGCAGCAGTAGTAGTAGTAGTATCAGTAGCAGCCTTACATTAAATAGTCTCTTCAATGATTGGTCTCGGGATTCTTCTACATCAAGGATGGATGTAAGTATTTTTTACTTAATTCACTTTTACTTGAAAACATTACTGAAGATTTTATTTTCACCAATCTATCATTCATTAACCAATTAAATTGTTAATTTTAGACTTGATATTTTTTTGAGGATTTTGTCATTTAATTGAAGAAAAAAAGAAATTGCATGATTTTCAATCTGTTTTATTTGTATTGAATTTTGAAATTTATGATGTATAAGGGTTAAAGATTTCATCGTTTAATAGAGACATTGCAAACAAAGCAATATGGTTGTAGATGGCTTTTACTATGACTTTATTTTAATTTGATGAGTCTCTTCTTATCCCTTATGGTTGATTACAAATTTTTAAGATATTTTCTTATTTCTGATTTAGTATTTCACTTGTGAGATTACCTTGCTTTGTCTGACTTCTCTTAATTTCCATTAGATGGCATTGAATAAAACAGTATAAAAGTAAAGGGAACAAAGAATCTATCTCTCTCTCTTTTTTTTTTTTTTTTTTTTTTTTCACCCACAAGATGCTGTATTTGACAAGACTTGTCTCTTTTCTCAACCAGAGAATTTCTTAGTCCCTATCTATGAGTATTTTTCCTGCTGTACCCCCACCAAAAAAAAACCCCAAAAGCCCATTATGCATAACACTTCCCTTTTAAACCCTTACAACAATCTCATTCAGTAAACCTCTACTTTAAGTGGTTCTTGGGGCTTGTACAGGGTGGACAATAATACAAAATAAATAAAAAAATAAAAAAAAATACTTTCACAAGAAAATATCTCTACAACAAATTAGTGAACCCAATTATAAACTGATAAATTAATATTCTTGTATTATTTCTCTTTCTGAGCTATGGTCCAAATTCTCAGTATTTATTTGTTTTTTTATTTTTTTACTATAGATAACTTCTTCTGACATTGAGTTTAACAAAAGGTTCTGGAGTTACATAGTTAAAACTTTTAAAGTCTTACTAAATGTCTCCATTTATTTTTTTTTATATGGAAAGTGTAAATGTAGCCAAAGGAAACTAAATTTTTGTATTTCAAAATAATTTTTTTTTTTTGTCTTTTGAAATTAATATAACATTATTTTTAAATATTAGCAAACTTTGTTACTTAAGTTTTGTATTTTATTTATTTTTCAGTTGGACACCACCCTTCAGATGATTATGAATGAGAACAGCATGGACTATGTGAGCAAATTTGCAGAACTTGCAGAGAAGGTTGCTGCATCAGATGCAACTGTTGCTAATAGTAATGCAGCAGCAGCTGCAGCTGTCCTTGTTGCCAAAAATGGTGCTAAGAACAATGATGTCACTTCACAAGACAATGTTAATTGCACCAATACAGATGATTGCATGACACAATTAAATGATACTTTCCATTAATCAGTTTCCTCAATTTCTTGAGTCCTTTAGGTCTTGGATTGATTCACTTGTTGAATTAAAAATTGTCAATAATTCATGGGATTGTTTTAGTTGAAAGCATTCTCTTATATTACAGTGGCATTGTGCATTATTTTTCACTTAGTCATTGTTTGTTCTACTCTTATATTTGATAAATCATGTGCTTTTTAATTATTAGATGAGAACAATCAGAAAATAAAATTACAAGAATAAATTATTTCTAAGTTAGAAGAAAAAAGGAAAAGATTGAATTCAGAAATATATAGAATCAATAAAATCCTAACTTTTTTTTCTTTGTTTTTTGAAAAGAAGAACAGAAAAATGATAAAATTTAATTTTTTTCCTAGTTTTATTTGATGATATATGTTTGGAATAATGTATTTAATAATTTTTTTTTTTTTTAAAGTTAAAGAACACAAATGTAAAAATAAAAATGCCCCAAATAAATTTATAAAATATTGTTTAATATAAGATCTATAATTTTTTAACTTTAGAAAGTGACTTTTTTATTAATATCTCTAAGTTTTTGTTTTGACATTTACAAAAATTTTGTTTTTATGAATCATTGTTTTTCTAATCAAGTGTGGAAGAATGAAAGATAAAAATTTATATAATTTGACAATTATAGAAAGCAACAGTTCCAAATAGATTGGAAAATGTAATGACAATTCCTAAAAAAATGGCCTTGCGAATACTTTCTTAGCAATAATAGCTACATGTTTAATAATGATTTATGGTCTATTAATAAGAGGTTTTCTGTTTAGTTATTTAAAAGGGTGATTTATAATTTCTATTCAGTCTTGTGGAGGGAACTGCATATATTTTTATGATTTTTATTGATTCATAAGAATATGTAAAAAGATACTTTTTAATCCTTTCAAAACCATTAATATAAAAACACAAGATGGAAAAGATTGTGTATCACCAATGTTTCAAATAGAAAGAACTTGCCTACCTTGAATATTAATATTTTAGTTTTTACCTGGGATCAAATAGCAAAGTCTGGTGACAGTGGGAAATATCTCAAATACAAGTGAGTCTATCATTTAAACCTTGTTTAATAATATATACTTAGCTTAATTTAGTATCACACAAGGCTAAATAAGGAAAAATTGGAGTGAGAAGAGCTATTGTGTGAGGGGAAATTAATATTTTATTTTGCAAAGCAAATGTTATGCTAATTTATTTTGCAAGGCAGGTGCTCTGCATGTTTATTTTGTAAAGCAAAGACTGTTTTTTTATGTTAACTTTTGGCAATTGTATTTTTTTTGATGTTAGTGTATTTTAATAATAATCAGTTATAAATAATTAAGAAATTTAAGTTTTAATTAACACATGACATTTCCAAAACAGACTAATTATTATTAAAACTAACTTTTTATCATTTTAACAGAGTAAAAATAGTTGAATTTACAAGATCATCAATTTTTTTCTTTATTTTTTAAAATATTTAATAGAAAACAAGTTTCAAATTATTGGAGTAAGTACCTCCATGAAATTGCTAAAAAGTTAGCATGCTGTGATGAAAACAGGCTACAAATGTAATAACATAGTTTTATTGTCAAAATCTTTATTATTAATAGGAAGGACCAAAGTATTTTTTTATTTTTTAATATTTAATGAAATTTTTCACTCCTTTTTGAAGCATTCAAAATTTTCATTAAAAATCTTATTTTTCTTGCATCAGTGGATGTACTCATTTTTAGCATAGCAAATTTTAGCTTCTTTTTTTGGTGACACATTAATTTGGAAATTCTTGTAAAAATCAATTCTAATTATTTTTCTATGTAAAAATGTACTGAATTTTATAGGTAGGGTTGCCAATACATGACAATATCAAAAAATAAGAGTGACACTCTATAGTAAATTTAGAGCCAAAATTCAATTAAGTTCAATAAAATTAGATTATAAAGAATATTTTCTGAAATTTTAAAGGTGGTCACATTATATTCCTCAATTATTTATTTATTTATTTTAAGGTTAATTCCCCCATAGAACAACATAGCCAATGATGGATAGATTGTTATGCAGTTATGGAAGCATTAAAAACCTGTCAATATAAAGAAATAAGCTACTGTTGAGAGTTGAAAAATGCATTTCTCTGATATTTTAAACTTAAAAAAAATAATAGTAGTTTCTAATCAGATTAATTATACTTTAAATCAGCTAATATTCCTCAAATAAAGTATATTTTATTTTTGGAAGATTTTTTAATAAAGAGATTTACATTTTTATAACATTTTGCTAAAATTGGTGCCAAAATAAAAAATTTTAGAAATTTCAAAAGACAATTTCTTCCACTCAATTAAAATTAGTTTTGAAATACAGCTTAGTATTTTGCTGATTGGAAATATTAAATTTAATCTCTCAGTTTGAAATTAAAACTAAAATAAAAACTTCAAGAAGGATTTTTCATTATTAAAAATTAATTTTAGACATTAGGTATTGCATTTTCGTGGAGGTCCCTATGTTAGAGGAAATATAAATACCTTAAAGGATGAGGAGTGAGTCATTGTCCATATCCTAAATCAGCAAGTTTACATTTTAAAGCCTTTCACAGTTTCAATGGTTTTAAACTATACATCTGTGATAGATAATGCTGATACTAACATTTGAAGTTGTGTGTGTGTGTGTGTGTATATATATATATATATATATATATATAAGGTTACTGGTCAGTCGAATAAGACCAGGAAACAGTAGTATTAAAAAGTGCTCAATACACATGTGAAAAAATAAAGTAAAAGTAAATATAACATATAGAGGTTTTAACTTTAAAAATCTGCTACTTTAGTTTCAGCATTATGGTATCATCAGAGGTCATTTGATAAAAATTGCCTGAGGATGCCATAAGGCTGAAACCAAGGTAGCAGATTCAACTGACCTCCTAATTTTTAAAGTATGTATATGTATAATACTGATAGTTTAAAATATTTCATCTATGAAGCTCAAGGAAAGAAAAGTATTAACGTATTTCATAACAATGGACATTCTTCTAAGTAATTTTGTAAGCCCAAGCTATTTAAAATAAACTTTTAATTCAGCTTTTTCTCCTCATTCACACTCATTTCAAAATAGTGCTTAAGCCAGCCAAAAGCTTTTATTTATTTATTTATTTAAAGATTCCTCTAAACAATGGAAATGACATGGATTCTTAAAAATAAATAAATAAAAAAAGAGAAAAGTATCTGATCCACTTTTGGATCAAAAAGTTCAACATGATTCAGATTTTCACTTTTTCCTTATTCCATATTTGGATGTTAGAGTAAAAATAAATTGAATAATTATTAAAGAACAAATAGAATTTCTCAAAGTCTAAAAAGTCTGCTAAACTCGCACGCAACCTCAAGGTTATCCCCCAGGCAGGAAAAGTTCATCACTTTTAAATCAATTTGTTGGATCCTTTGCAGTTTGCTATTTATGGATCATGCAAATGGATTAGCCTATTTTTTATGTAATCTATTCCACTTAGTGACACTTGAACCAGAACTGGTTAAAAGTAGCTCATTTATATGAGCTTATTGACTTCATTCAATTGAGAGGCATATCTTTTTTCTTTTTCTGCAAAACAGCATGTGACATGATAGCATTTTGGCCTTGGGATATATCCTCATTATATATATATATATATATATATATATATATATATAAAATATATATATATATACTCCTCCCTGATCTCATGAACACAGATATAGCAACTGGTGGTGGGTCTCTAAATCCAGTTACTCCATAGGGGAAAATCTCCTCTTCTTTCGGGTACTCTCTTTCTTGCTCAACTGGCTCAGGTCTTGAATCATCTTCATTAGAGATATTAGATGTCCTAAATCCAAATATTCTTGCGCTTTCAGAGGATGTGCTTGACGTACTGTCTGTGTCGCTTTCTGATGTAATGGAGCCAACAATGGGGTGAAGATCAAAATACATCAATTGGTTGAAAGTACATCAATTGGTTAAAAGTAGCTCAGTTACATGAGCTCATTGTCTTCATTCAGTTGAGAGGCGCTATTTTTTTTTTTTTTTTTTTTTTTTTTCTGCAACATAATAGTGTTTTGGCCTTTTCTTCTGTACAAGGATTAGTTAGCATAATCATTATCTTAATATCAATGCTACTTAGGCATCCAGTTATTTCACAAAATAATAGTAGCACCCAGTTTGATCAAAATTCAGTCATTTAGTGAGCAGTGTCTGGAGTGGCTTAACAGTTTGATCATTATATAGCAGTCCCTTTTGCAGGTGTGACAGATGAGGCTGGAATGTGGAATGAAGATTCCCGTGGCCTGTGGATTGCCCTTTCTACTTCCTGCATTGTCTTCTGATTGCCAACAGCAGGTTTTGCTTTCTCTTTGAAAAGCATAGCATAGCATTGACCACTGGGATCATCTGCTAGTTGTTCCCAGCTACCAGAGTCGAAACCTGTGAGTTTCAAGCCCCTCTCAAAACAACTGTCTAATAGGCTGCTGTACTATGTTTTAAAACATAGTAGGGCAGCCTATTAGACAGTGTCTTATGGCCAGCTCACTGTAAGATGTTTTTTGGCATAGAGCCATCATTCATTTGATGTATGTGACCCAACCATTGACATTGAGAAAGAAGATGCATGCTACAGGAAACTGCTTACTTCAGCACAGCAGGATGTTAGAGGACACCTCTGCTTCCTCTCAGACTTAGAATGGACTTAGTTGTCAGAGCCTATTTGAGATGCATGCCATGGGAGCATTTTATAGATAGTGGGAACTTGTTCCTACTACTACACTCAGCTATGAAAACTGTTGGAACATATATAATGTACATATATTGTGTTTTAGGAACCCCTTTTTTCTTTTTTTTTTTTTTTTGAAACAAAAAGAGAAGACAAATTAAAAAAAATAGTTGTACATAAACAAACATAAGGATTGAAATGTTTGATAAGTGTTTAAAAAGTCACCCAAATGAAAAGTATAATTGGGGATTTATGTTCAAAATATACAAAGATTATGCAC